TTTCCCTAGTCATACTTCTTTGCAAGTAACATTGGTTGAAACAGGGCACAATTACAGTGCAATCCCAAAGAACGTTACACCCTTTAGATCCATTGAACTCAATGAGTTTAGAAGGGTTGAACTCTGTTTAGGTCTGTATTGTTAATCTGGAACTAATTTTTTTATGGCTTCTGTTGACTCTTTGAAACTTTTGAAATTGAAATCTTCACCACATTTGGCCTTAACACTGAGCTTGAGCCAGTCAAATGCTTGGGTAAGGCACAGATCCCCCCCCCCTTCTCATTCTTCTAGCACCTTGATTCTAAAATTGTTACCCAAGGGATGCCTATCGTGTTTGCAGAAAGTATTTCTTACACTCGACTTTGGTTCCCATAGGTCTCTGAAATGATTAATTTATTTTGGGAACTATATATTGCAGCAGATAGCCTTATAGAACTAAACTTAGTTCTTTGTGTTTAGAATTCTTCGGCACTGCTGCCTGACATTGATTAGGTATTTCACTTTTTGTAATTGCTTGTTTTTAAATATTTGTTGTAGCTTGGATTACCAGTGTTACAAGAATCATGACTAGAATAGCCCCAAAGAATTTAGTTCACATACATAAAGAACCTCCTATTAACTTCTGAATTGCTCATGTATTTAAACTTCTAAAGGTTGAGTCTTGGAAACTGGCATTTTTCTCTGCTTGTTAATAGGAAATAACTATTTATTTCGAAATTACCTGAATAGTCTGTCATTGTCAGGCCCTTTACATGAATTACATGTACTTTTCCAATGTGTTTGAATCCAGCAAGCCAGATGGCACCAATCCATTTGTGCTGGAGAGAAGAGGAGGGTGTTTTGCATCTCCTGTAGATCTATTATGATATGTTTTCTAAAATTTCCTGAAATTTTTGTAAAGATATTTGCACGTTTTATTCAAACGAGGGGATTAAGATCAAAGGTATGTTGACTTTTTTTAAAAAAATCTTTGACTCTCACAAATGACTTCTTGCGGGAAAGTTTTCATTTACAGTAAGGTGTTAGGAAACATGAAGCTGGGATTGATAGTCCTAGGGAGCTATCCTAATCAGATGACAGGGAATTAGTATAATAGTTTCTGATGTCACAGGGGCATTGAAGTCAGTGGGAAGGTAGCATTTGGGGGGACAATTATCACCGGAAAGTTACAAGCAGACAAAACCCAGGCTGTTAGCCCCCTCTTGCTCTGAGCTACTGATATCTTTTCCACTTGCTTGGCCTTAAGTAAATCAGGACAGAAAGTGGATCAATAGACATAGAACTTCATAAGGTAGGTGATAATAAAGACTTTTCTGGAAGAATCCATTCTCGGTTTTGTCCTGCCAAATAATCTGTTTCTGTAGTCTTCTGGTTGTACAAAATTTATTGCAGACCCAGCAAAGAAAATACCTAGAAATTGCAGCTGAAGAATAATAACCTTCTATGTTTGCTTATTGGTTTTAAGGTGAAGCAGATCCGCTGCTTTCATGCAACAGCTGTGCGCAGTAGTGCTGGTGGAGCCCTGTTTGTGGTAAGTAATGTGTATGTTTGACTAAAGCAGATGTAACTGGAAGTTGAAAACTGCATATTTGTTATTTTATGAGACTGTATTTTTCATTGGTTAGAAATATCTATTGCCTTTTTTGTATGTTGCAGTATGTGCATATGAATTTCAAAAGAAAATGTTTCAGACTTTGAATAAGGTAGAAATTCCTACATATTTCCATTCAGTTGAATGGGGTTCTTCTGTTTTGTAAGTGGTGACCACTCTTACCCAAGAAGTGGAGGTTCTCTTACAGTAATCACTCGTCTGTTTGCACGCAAACCTTTTTGAAATCGGTACTGGAAAATATTCCCTCACCTACCTGACAGAGGGAATTCAGGCAAGAAACCAACAAAATAGTTGCTGCAGCATTAGCCCCACTTGGCAGCATATGATAAAACTGCATTCTCCCTAAGTGTCCTGTGACATGATTAGGCTTTGCCCAGCTCTGATGGAAAGTCCCGCTGTCCTCTTAAGCTGCTGACAGAAAGCTGAATTGCACAATTAGGAATCATGCTTGAATGCTCTTCAGTACTGAAAGCTTATTTTGTATAGGGAAAACATGAGCACGTTGAAATAAAGGCTAAAACAGTTCTTCTTGACATGCTATTCCTATAGATGTACCTGTATTGTATCTGAAGAAGTGTGTGTGCACACGAAAGCTCATACCTTGAATAAAACTTTGTTGGTCTTAAAGGTGCCACTGGACTCAGACTTTGTTCTGCTGCTTCAGACTCACTTTCTAATTTATAGGGATGAGTATAATGCATGGCCAGATATAGATTACTTTCATCATTATCAGTGTTCTGTCACTGTTATTCCGGAGAGGATTTAAACAACTACTGTGTTCTGCCTGAAGACTGTATAATGTCTAGTTGTGATTTTGCAGCAGAAGCATTCTGGAACAATAATTTTGGCAGCTTATCTCACTATATATGTTAACCTAATTAAGCTCTTACATCTGTATTCTCACTAATCCCCCGGAAGGGCCATATGTCCTCTTTATTATAGATTAGAATAGTAGATTGTAATGTAATGAATAGTAGAATGTATTGGAATTTGGAATGGTAGATTGAAATGGTATTTCTCTGGACTGGGAACAGGGGAGATAACTCTACATAGCCATTCGCTCCACTTCAAAGATGATACTGTAAGGTCGCCTCCATACTTGAGAGGAGACTGATGGAACATAATGGCAGGATCTCAGTTAATTATTCTCAGCATTCCACAATTAAGGATACATCCATCTCCAAATTATACATATTTATTTCCTTCACTATGTTCCCCCCCCCCATTGAACCCAAATGAATGGCAAGCATATAAACTAGACTTATTATTCCTGAATCTGTTAAACATCTTCATTATGTTGCATGCTAATGTACTGCTCACCCTCTACCTATATGTATGGGCTGATCATTTCCATTTCATTGTATCTGAAGAAGTGTGTGTGCAGACGAAAGCTCATACCCAGAATAAAACTTTGTTGGTCTTAAAGGTGCCACTGGACTCAGTCTTTGTTCTGCTGCTTCAGACCAACATGGCTGCCCACCTGAATCCATTTTGGCAACTGTACACTATTCACTTTGAGAGGGTGGGTAGGAATAGACATGTAAAATTTCTGGAAATTCTAAAGCATAGGAGAATAAGATAAAGCCACGTTTGAGTCTTTTAAATCAAGTCAGTGTTTCACAAGTACTTAAACAACAATGTGGAAATGGAAGGTCCAAAATAGATCGAAAGGCAGATCTTGAAAAAATATATTTTAGAAATAAGCAGGCTGCAGTGGTAGATATTCTTTCTATGAATCATTCCATTTGCTAACTAGTGGTAAATCACAAGCCACTTCTACAGGAATAATTAATTTGTATAGCTGTAATAGTCCCAGTATATATGTCCTTTTAACCATTTCAACTGTCATTATGTCAGGTTTGTTCCCAAACACTGATTGGCTCTTCACAAATTGCCTCTTATGGTTTGTTTTGTGTACAATACAGTCACATACTGAGAAGCCTTTTAAACTGAAATATGGAAAAAAAACAACTCTGGCTTATGGAGAGAAGATTCTGTTTTGATTTTTTTTAAAAGTTGGACAGCAAAAATTGTTGCATTAGCAGCCTGCGTGCAGAGAATATATGGAATATGTGGCAGTGCTGAATAATTTAACATTCCTGGTACTTAGCAATAGTTTGGTAGGTCTGGGAGTAAAGGACACCTAATGCTGATGTATTAAAAATCTAACTTGTTGAAATATGACTATCTTTAATGGAATTGCTAAACACATCTTAAATTACCAAACAAGCGTATTTTGGATATTATTATTGGTTTTAGGTTGCTAAAGTGGGGGTTTTTTGCATTTTTCAGAAATTTGGCAACCCTAAACATCCTGTCTGCATGACTACTACAATGAAATGTGCTGTATTAACTGATCACTAATAGATTAATACCTATTACTGGATTTACTTGCACACCAGAGAGAATAGGCACAGAAATTTTTTACTACAAATGTTTTGACGTTAATTGTGGCAGCGTTCTGTTGATTTTGGAACACTGCATTGAATTTTTTTAAAAAAATTCTGAGCTTCACAATGAGATCTTAATTACTATTTTATAGAGAAAGATTCCAGTGGGTAGCTGTGTTGGTCTGAAGCAGCAGAAGAAAGTTTGAGTCCAGTGGCACCTTTAAGACCAACAGAGCTTTGTTCAATGTCTGCACTTTCATCATGTGCCCTAAGCACCCTTCATCAGACACAATGACATGAAATCTCCTCAAGCTCTACTTACAGGAAAAAGAGGGTGGGGGCAGCCACTAGGAAGGGCCAGTCACAGCCAAGATGTATAAGTACGTCTAAAATCAGTTCAGGTGACCAGTAGGATCAGTGACTGACCACCTGATCCGATTTCAGACCTATGGTCATCTAAAATGCATCTTTGCCAACACAAAGTAAAAATATATAATCATGTTTTTTGATATTTTTTGTACAGCACAGAGATACTCCTGAAAACAATCCAGATACTCCATTTGATTTTACACCTGAAAATTATAAGGTATGTCTTGGTGATGGCCAGGAAATTGAATTCCTATATAAAACTGAGATTATGGCCCATTGTGACATGTGTTTTTCTTGAACAGAGAATAGAGGCAATAGTAAACAACTTCCCAGAGGGACACACCTCTGCAGCTGTGATGCCCGTCCTTGATCTAGCCCAGAGACAGAATGGATGGCTACCTATATCAGCTATGAATAAGGTACTTAAATAATTTTTTCTTGTCATAAGTCTTTGTTATTCCTCAGATTCACTTCCGTAATTGTAAGTTGCTGGTAGGAATCAGTTTGTAACAAAACAAACTGCAAAACAGACTATACAAGCATGAGTTGTCCTCTATTCTGTATTCTGGATTTTTAAATTAAGTTGTATAAACTGTTAAACAGGCTGAGTCTGATAAAAGCATACTGTCTGTAGTCTTCCCCACTTCTTCACTGATGTCCTAGCTAAAAACCTGCAACAGGTCTCAGAGGGAGCTGGCAATTATAAGTTATTACTGAGAAACAGATGAGGACATAACCTTAGGCTGTTTGTATGGTTTGGTATACGGTTTCCTAATAAGTAAGTAATGTCTCCCACTTAGGTCAGGTATGTAAATTTTGTAAACTTATATTGAAAGGTATCTTGAAACCCAACTGTGTCAACATTTATGCTTTAACCATACTCTGTACCTTATTAATAGCATTTGGTCGCTGTTGGGTTTTGTGGGAAATGCTGTTAATGAGAATTCAAACCAAAATTGGAATAATTCCTCTTGGAAATGTTGTTTTGTTGAGGCTTCTCATTTATTGCCTTGAAAGAATAATTTTTTCTCATATTATAGGTTGCTGAGATTCTACAAATGCCTCCCATGAGAGTATATGAAGTAGCAACCTTTTACACCATGTATAATCGTAAACCTGTTGGAAAGTACCATATTCAGATTTGTACCACTACACCTTGCATGTTGCAGGATTCTGATGGCATCTTAGAAGCCATCCAGAAGAAGCTTGGTATGATGCCATACTGCCTTTCTTATTTAATCCATCCATATATTGTAATGTATTAAAGGATTTTGTGGTAGTGAAACTTCTGGCAGTGATGACAGAACTGCCTAGTGTCACAAAGGCAGGGCAAGCAGCAGATGCTTCGGATGCCAATAGCTATGTTCTCACATCCTAAAGATAAATCGGAAAAAGTAAGAAGGAGTGAAAAGGAGGAAAGGGTAGAAGCATGGGCTTACAAAAGCAGTCACCAGGGCTTGAGAAACCAGTAGTCCAAAAGAGGTGGTATAGGGCAAAGAAATGAGGTTTGGAACTTGTACAAGACTGTATTCAGAGAGTGGAGAGAAAAAATTGTATATTAGCTAGGAGCTGGAAAAGGTGACTTAACTGCATAGTGATTTGTACTAACCCACCAAATCTGGCTGCAGTAAGGCTTTAAAGAGAGCTGTGTATAATCAATATAGTGCAGAAGTAAGGCTCTGTACTTCTGAATATAACACAACAAAAAATTTAACTGCAGACTAGTTCCAAAAGAAGGCTTTGCTTTTAAGTTTCTTTGGTCCTAGTAGAATCTTGTAACAGGCTGCCTACACATCACATATATACAATTATTTGGGTCATGAAAGGCACATTTCTGTAGTTTCTTAAATTTCCTATATATACCATGTCATGTTAATAACCTGGTGACCATGGTCAGCCCCCCCCCCAATCTTGGTGAAGTGTCCACATTCCCTCACCCATCTTGTGCTTAGCCTTGAAGGCAATAATACCAGTTTATATAAAGGTGTGCACCCAGAGAATGGCAATAAGGAGGTTGGTTTGTATAGAGAAGAGGCTTATAGTAAAACTAGTAAATATGCATCCTTTTGGGGATACCTGTGTAGCCTGAATGGCAGGTTCCACTGTACGTTAAGAATAAAATATTTTTATTCTGGGTTAGGAAACCGAAAAATCTGAAACAGCAATGCAAATTATTCATGAGTGCTATACCACTTTCTCCTCTATAAGATTATAGCTAAAAGTTCCTTACAGTTTTTAGAACACCTTCAGGATGTGTTTCATTTAAGAAGGTAGACATTTTAAAACGGCTAAAAATTGACATGCTAGTGTTGTGCTTTTGTGAAAGAAACTGGATTGTCTAGTCTGATGAAGCAACCAGGGCTATACCACTGTAGCCAAGTTTTTAAAAAAATGGTAGAATGTAACATCAGCTGCTGGATTGGCTGGGGAACTGCATGTGTAGCATCTGTATGTGCACATGATAGCTCAGTCCATTAAGGGTACACCTACAGGATCTGCTTTCCACAAATAGTTGTTTTGTGCTTTTTATTGCTGGGTCTATTAACTAATCTTTCTTCCCTTAGGTATAAAAGTGGGAGAAACAACACCAGATAAACTCTTTACACTGACTGAAGTAGAATGCTTGGGTGCCTGTGTAAATGCACCAATGGTACAAATAAACGATAACTATTATGTAAGTGACTGTAACAAAATCATACTTGCACATAAACATCTTCTGTGTTCTTCAAAGACTACAGAGTCAAACTTTGACCAAAGGTTTTGCTGTTGCCTGTGTAGATGACGATTCATAGAATGGTTAAAATTCCAAACATTTCTTTGCATTGGGTTTCATTATTTTAATACAGCAATCAAATATTACTCCAGTGATTGTGTTACAGTGAGTATTCAGTACCCCCCAATACACATCTCAAGCATATTGCCTGATTATGGGACTGACTAAAATTTCTGTTGGATATGAGAAAGCTCTCCTCTTCAAAGCTTTAATTCCAGTGATTACTACAAAGTCTCAGATGTCAGCATTATAAATCCTATAGGCAAAATCAGTTTCAGTTCAGTACCTGACATAACAAGACACAACTGTAAGCATGTTCTTAAAGTCTTATTGCATTGCTAGTTTTTTTAAGCCAATGAAGAAGATTCTCAATGGCTGTTAGGATTCCTTCTTTGAAGAATACTGCATTTTCCTTATATAATATTTTACATTACAGGAAGACCTGGCCCCAAAAGACATTGAAGACATTATTGATGAACTAAGAGCTGGAAAAACTCCAACACCTGGCCCAAGGTACTTTATTTTATACAATGCAGAATATTAGGAGAAAACTGTGATAAAACACTTAAGAATGTAAGAGAAGCCATATTGCATCAGGCCAATGACCCATTCAGTCCAACACTGTGTCACAGTGACCAAAACCCAGGTGCCGTCAGGAGGTCAGCTGGCAGAGCCAGAACTCCAGAAGCTCTCCCACTGTTGCCCCCCAAGCACCAAGAATACAAAGCATCACTGCCCTAGACATAGTGTTCTATCTATACGTTGTGGTTAATAGCTACTCATGGACCTATGCTCCATATGTCTATCCAATACATTCTTGAAGCTGTCTATGCTTGCTGCCGCCATCACTTCCTGCAGCAGTGAATTCCACCTGTTAATTACTCTTTGAAGAAGAGGAGATTAACTCAGTTTTAGAGCAGCTTAAAAACTCCTTTCCCTTCCCCTCCCCACAACAGACACCCTGTAAAGGTGGCAGGGCTGAGAAAGCTCTTTCAAGAACTGCTCTTACAGAACTATGGCTTGCCCAAGGTCATCCAGCAGCTGCAAGTGAAGGAGTGGGGAATCAAACACGGTTCTCCCAGATTGGAGTCCATGCACTTAACCACTACACCAAACTGGCTTTGGATGAAGTTCTTCCTTTTACCTGTTCTAATCCTACTGCTTGTTAATTTCATTGAGTGCCCACCAGTTCCTGTATTGTGTGAGAGAAAAGTACTTCTTTCTCTATCCTCTATCATGTCACCCCCAGTTGTCGTTTCTGCTTAAGCTAAAAAGCCCTAACCTCTTTAACCTTTCTTCATAGGCACGGTGGTTCTAAGTGTCCTGTCTTAACATGGGACATGGTTCTTCTTCCCAAAAGAATTTGGTTTTGTTTCATGCTGAGACTGCCAACAAGAATGTCAGTTCAGAAGCTGTATATGTACTTCCCTATTTGGGGGCAGTTACTGAATTCTTCACTGAAATAATATATACTCCAACAAGTTTTTCCTTGTAACTTGATGCTAAGATGCTGTATTGGCTTTGTACTTTACTAGATGTTACTGAAAAAACTCAACCCATACTACAGCTTGGATCCAGTGGTTCTCCTGCATGAAGCGAGAAATCAATTCAATTCAATAGACCTTTAATGGCATATACAACATTAAAATCAGAGACATTAAATTTAAAACAATCAGCTAAAAGTCTGAGATAATTATAAAATCATAAAACGGAGTTTCCCACGTTTTTCACTCTTATCACATCAACTAAAAAATTGGCCACTGCCACAGTAATCTCTACTGTTGTATCATTCAATAGAATTTGACATTTTATTTTATTAGGGAGGTGATGTTTACCGTGCAACCAAGTATTTGCCAGGATTCCTTCCCCCCAGGGGTCATTTCGTAGAAAAAGAGCTAGGGGGGCTCATTAGCATAACTCATTAGCATATGCCACACACCCTGACATCACCGGAAGTGTGTCCTCCCCACAGCCGGCGGCGACCTCCAGCGGGCACCAGCAGGGAACTCCAGGCCCCGCCCTCCCGCACCTCACCCGGGGGGATGGCGTCCCCCCTCGTCCCCCCCCCAAATGACCCCTGCTTCCCCCCAATCCAAGATTCCTCTCCTTAGCTCAAGGCTGGGGAGTAGTTGTGGCTCAGTGGTAGAGCATCTGCTTTGGCATGCAGAAGGTCCCAGGTTCAATCCCCAGCATCTCCAATAAGGATCATGCTGTAGGTGATGTCAAAGACCTCTGCTTGAGACCCTGGAGAGCCGCTGCCAGTCTGAGTAGGCACTACTGACCTTGATAGACCAATTGTGTGATTCAGTATAAGGCAGCTTCATGTATATTCAAGGTTATAATTGCTTCCAACCCAGTGCCTAACCATTCTAGACTTGCAGTGATGCCCATACATAATTATGCAGAATCAGATCCTCTGGGTGATATACTCCTAAATAAGTGTGCAGAGGGGTTACAGGCATAGTTAATAGCAGATACCTGATAATTTTAATAGCTGGGTTCCTATTTTCCATAAAGATATTAAACTTAGTACTGTCTTTCTATAGAAGCTTGGGGGGGAAATCAACCCAGATCTCAATCACTGTTGTTTGTATCCTTGAGACAAACACAACTAGTGTAATACTGAGTAATTATTCCCTTTAATTTTCAGGAGCGGGCGCTTCTCATGTGAGCCAGCTGGTGGATTGACTTCTCTGACAGAACCACCTAAAGGACCTGGTTTTGGAGTTCGGTCAGACCTTTAACAAGTTGTAAAAAACAAAACACTAATAAATCTGAACTGTGGATAGCTGAAAATGAGTATTCTATTATGAAGTTCAATAAGATAACTTGGTAATTTTTTAACATAGCTCAAATATTGGAAAGACATTACTATCTGGAATTAAAACAATTGAGTTTATTTTTATTTTGATACTAACCAAAAATGATCCAAAATAGTCTTTTATCAGCTTGCATAACTAGAAAAATGTATGTAAAAATATAAGGCTGTTTACAACATTCAGTGAAAATAAATCAGCTACAAATACATGGAAGCAATAAAAACTATTTAGAAACGGAAAAGCATAAGAACATAGCATAACCTTTGGCTTAAATGATGTTAATTGACAGGTAAGGAAGCCTAGGAAAAATTGGGTGAAGGAACACGCCAACCACAGACCAAACTGTTTTGACTGTGAAAGGGCTGGTGCCTTATTCCTCAGTACAGATTTTCCAACATGGAAGTATAGGTCTCCAGGACCTATACAGAAAGTTTTTGCTACAAAGCTCAGTCAGTGTTTGTTACTTATCAAGTAGTCATGTGAGAAACCAGATTTCTAATGCGGTATTTGTTCTTCAAGCACAGTTTTCTTTGCTTGTGGATACTTAATTAGATTACTTGAAGTAGACAGTCTTGAGTGGGAGGGTACATTTAATCTTTTCTTACCTTCTAGACATACATGATTATATGATTACTAGATTGTTAAAACTCACACTTGTGATTTCAGATCAATGAGCTAAGAATCATAGGTGGGTTTCCTGGCTGTTAGAAGTAAACATGTAATGCAAGAAACCAAAATTTCAAGCAGGCCAGTGGGGAATCCCAAATAGAAAATTTAGTTGTAAATTTCCATAATCTCAATTTAACAGTGCTTGAACAACTATAAGTTACCCTGGATACAAATAGCACTCTTTAAGTTGAATTGCAATTTAGTTTCATTATGGTAAATGCAAAATCTCCTGAGTTATTTTTAAAGCACCTAAAAGCTGTTCTTATGACAGATGTTCTTACATTCTTCAGAGAAACAGTATTATGTTTTAGCTGTGGCTCAAAGTGTCACAGAGTTCCTTTCTCTCCATGCTGATAGTATAGAAGAAACTACACATATTTTAGATTTTTTTTCTTATTATTTATTTATTTATTTTAGCCCTCCCTCCCCTGCACAAGAGGCTCAGAGCAGGTTTTACAACATGATTAAAACATACAACATAACTGAAATATAATACAGCCTTAAAATCTATAAAATTATCAATTCACAAAACATCAGTAAACACTGCTAAAACGTCTGCTGCGCAATTAAAAGTGCCAGGGGATTCTGATTGTGGGTAACTGTAGATGCAGAACAAATGGGTGGGTGAGAAAGCCAATGATGGAATAAAGCTAGGCAGAGCAGGGGAGGCCAGTATAGCTGAATTGCCACCGCCTCAGCCATAGCCCTGGTGGAACATCTCCATTTTACAGGCCCTGCGGAACTACATTAAATCCCTGCGGAACTACATTAAATCCCTCAGGGCCCAGATCTCAGCTGGGAGACTGCTCCACCAGGCAAGTGCCAGAGCTGAGAAAGCTCTGGCTCTGGTCAAGGCCAGGCATACATCCTTTGGGTCAGGGGTCACCAGTAGGTGTTGATCAGAGGAGCACGAAGCCCTTTGAGGGACATCTGGGGAGAGACGGTCAGGTAGGTATGTTGGTCCCAGTCTGCATAGGGCTTTAAATGTTAGAATCAGAACCTTGAACTTGATCCGGAATTCAACTGGGAGCCAGCGCTCTTAAAGATGCACTTAATTAGAATTTTCATTGGGTGGAGCCAAAGTATTGAAAGCGGAGCTCCATTTGTGAAACATAACTTTCCTGTTTCCCTCCTTTCACTGTATCCTTTAAAGTCGTGGTTCCAAATTCGTTGGTGACACACAACTCCAAATTTATCTGGTATGGTGACCCACTTAAAAAGAGCATGCACGAATCAACAGAAAGTGGGACCCACTTTCACAGGTTTCATGACTGATGTCTGGTTGGAAAATGCTGCTTTTAAGCACAGCCCTGGATGTAAGGGAGCCTCCAGGAACAGCACTGTGTATGTTGTGTGGGAGGGTGGGGGACTGTTGAAAATCACTCAGCAGTAAGTTGGCATTTAAAACTGTAACCTGTACATAGAAACTTCTGACATCTAATTCTGGAATTTGACTTTTCTGCATGTGTAATGCCTTTTTGACAGTACTTTTCTGTCCTTGTGAGATTGTGCATTTTTCTAAAAGGCCTTAATAAACAGGGTTGTACTTGTGTCAGCTTTGCAGTCTTGCCAGAGAATTTCTGTCTAGTGATCATATAAGCACACTGTCAAATTGGGTTTTTTAAAAACTAAATTCTTAGAGCGCACTTACTAGTAGCTGAATTTAAATAAAATCCGAATCTAGTATAAATAAGTGAAAGCAAAACTAAATCCAAGAACTTCTGTCAGACACTGTCACAATTCTCATACACACTATATCAAACCACTTCTCATTACAGAAATGAGCTTATATGTTTGTATCCCCCCACCCAACTTAGAAATTGATCACTTTAATAGTGAACCATAGGCCCCGGTCACACGGCAAAGTTGCTGTGGGAGAGGCACGGATGGTGGGTGGATTATCCAGGCGCGATCACACCCCAACATCTGGGAAGTGGAGCACACCCATGGATTACCGCCAAAAATGTGCGTTAAAAAAGTAATACCTCCAAAGTACTAGTAAACGTTTGCAACGAGCTGCCTCCAGACTCCCATGGTGTGATCACGCCGGCGCGTGGCATTCCCCTCCTGTCCCTCATTTACCCGCTGGCGCTGAGGGAAGGACCCGTGGTGTGCCGCCGGCGGGTCTGATCACGTAATCGCGGATCAAACTGCGCCGGGGCAATTAGCCACGCCTCCCCCCCACACACGATATCCGGCCCGTGTGACCGGGGCCACCGTTTTTCATCCTGACTGCAAACTATGATTTGTTCTCTTTTCTTGAAAGTAGACATAGTTTAATTCTGACAGAGAAAAAAGTGGACCATGGTTTAATTCAGACATTGCACGCTAAACTGAAATAAGTAGTTTAAGCTGTATGTGATGGATAAAGGAGAGAATGTGAGGTAGCAGTTCTCTAAAGAGCTCCAATGCTGTTTTACATAACAAATCATGGTTCATTACATGTGACTAATACTGTCTTTGACATCAGAAAGTAGAGATGGGAAGATGTGTAAACAGACTTCCACAAGAACACTCACCAAGATGCCAGCAGCAAGTGTTTTTTATCGTTAAGAATGTGCTTGTACGTGAACTGCCATCCTAGGTATTATTTTCTTTTAGATATTTATACTACTGCTTTTCTCCCCACTGGAAACCCAAGAAAGTTCACATCATTCTCCCCTCCTCCATTTTTCCTCACAACAACCACCCTGCAAAGTAGGTAAGGCTCAGTGAGAGTTACTGGCCCAAGATCACCAAATGAGCTTCCATGGTAGAGTGGGGATTTCAGCCTAGGTCTCCTGCATTCTACCCACTACACCATACTTGCTCTACACACGTATTTGCCTGATCCATGGGCAAATGATGTTTCTGTGTTTCCCAGCTTCAGTATGGTAATCTGCTTAACATGCTTATACCTCATTGTTCCTTTCATATTTCAAGTGAACACAATAGCTATCATAGAATGGCTGGCCATGGCTAAGTACTGTAAGTTAAGGGAGAAGAAAAGTGTTTTTAAGATCTCTGGGGTGTGTGAGGGGAATGTGTCATTTCTCTGGCCCACTCTTGTCTGGCTCCACTCAATGAGCTGTCATTTTATGTTTAGTTCCAGCTTGATGGATCTTGGGGTTCTGTTACACAGTTCACCCTAGTATGTAATGAGAATGAACTCCTGTTTACAAAAAACTTTAAAAAATTATTTTCCTTATTAACAGTCCAATTAGCCTGAAAATGGTTTTAGTGTTACAAGATAATATGGTGGGATTAACCTTAAAGCTGATTAGTAAAAATAATGGCTCAAAAGTTATGTAGTATATTTATTGTGGGGTGGTGATGGACTGCTAACACGTTGCAGTTTAAGACATGGCTCCATGAGATGCTCAGCCTGTTAGTCTAAGCTTACCCAGGGAATCAGCCTAACTTTGAACACCTGGCTGATAGCCATCAGGAACCAGGATCTTATTGAATGTCAAAGATCTGTGTGTTGTACAGCTGTATCCTAAATACATCAAAGATTGCCTTGTCTGGAGTGCATTTTTATGCCCTCCCCTTTTTCTTCTGAGTCTGCCACCTCATATCCTCCCAAGACCTCCTGCTAGCTGAGCCCTCCTTTTCAACCACAGCACAAGTGTGCTTTCGGGGGGGGGGGGTTTTTGCAGTCTCCCACAGAGCTGCGGTGGCTCAAGGGGTTAAGACGCTGAACTGCAGGCTGTGGAAGGTCGGTAGTTCAGCAGTTCGAGACCCGAGTGTGCCGCGTGACGGAGTAAGCTCCCGTCTCTAGTTCCAGCTCCTGTCAACCTAGCAATTCGAAAGCAAGAAACTGCAAGTAGATAAATAGGTACCACTTCAGTGGGAAGGTAACAGAGTTCCGTGCGCCTTGGTGTTTAGTCATGCCAGCCACATGACCACGGAAATGTCTTCCGACAGCGCTGGCTCTTTGGCTTTGAAACAGATGAGCACCGCAACGCTAGAGTCGGATGCGACTGGCTTTCGAGCAAGGGAACCTTTACCTTTTACAGAGGTGCAGAGGGCCCCTTAGCTGAGCCTTTTCTAAACATTGTCAAGTCCTTCAAATTCTGTACTTGAATTTCAAAAGGAGGTCAGTATTATAGCTGTGTGTTCCTGTCTTTGTAAAATTTTAATCAAGTAAAATTCATGATGAGCTGCCTTGGGCAGACATGGGCAGAGAAATAAATAAGGAGGGGTTATTCAATGATAATTTTGTATACTTGCAGGAACGTAGTAGATTAATGCTTAAGAACCAATGTGCTAAAACATACAAACTCCATTCATGTGCAAGATACACTGTACAAGAGGATGGAAAGTAGCACACAAAGTAGATCTGATTAAAGAAAAGCAGTATTACATTGCCCCCCCCCCCCAAAAAAAAATATTTATTTGGCCAAATGATCAAAGTCCTAGACTAATGGATCAAGAAACTGCCACCTAAAAAAAAGTTAAACCCACACTGAAAAACAGTAATAATTTAAAGCAATATTTTCTCAGGTTATGCTTCAAGCAAAAATGACTGCTCTATTCTAGACTTCCAGTGATTTTATCTTGCAACCATGAAACTATCAGGTCACAAGCTGACAGTGGCATGCACTACTCATGAGAAAAGACAGCCTGAGTTGTACTCAAAAGCCATACCAGAGGCTGAGTTCCACCTTATTAGGAGTATCCATCTTCACAGGTCTCCTTCCAAACGAGAAACAATTACCTTGTTGTGATGACCATATATACCTTCTTATAGGCACACCCAATGTTCTGAAGAGGAAAGGCTAGTCAGTTGGGCCAAATCACAACTCTTACAGTAACATAAGGAATATTTTGCATATAAATAAGATCCATCTTTGTTTATGAAGTTTATCTTCCACTTTTTCCCCCCTGTTGTGAAGACAATATAGGGCTCCGGTCATACGGGCCGGAAAATGCAGGGGGGAAGTGTGGCTGTTTGCCCCGGAGGAAAATAACGTGCGGTTGCGCGATCAGATGTCCCTTCGAGGTCCCGTGGTTAGGGGGCAGGTGCCGATCACACGTTGATCCTGCAGTGTGGCAAAGAAGCGGTGCGGCGCGATCACACCAGCAATCGCTAGGCGCCACTTCCATGGCAAACGGGATGGATTTTTTCAAAAACTGAAGTTTATGCATATGCATGACTGAGCAATCCTATCTGCACATCCAAAGGCGGGTGGTGGGCTTACCGGAGAGGGTGACAGACGCTTCCGGACTCCAACAGAGCTCCGAAGCATAGCCAATGGAGGGGGAGGGGGGCCCCCTCGTCACAGCGGCTCTAACTGCCTGTGCGACAGTGGCCATAGCGACCCTCCAGAGGCGGCAAGCCTGGCTGCAGTGGGAGGGGGCCTCTTTGTGCACATGCGCTGTTGGGTGCTTGTGCGCATCCTGTGGAGACTTGGGGGGGGAAACCTGTTCGCGACGGGACATGGGCGGGCGCCGGATGCCACGGGATTCCAACGGAAATGCAATCAGGCGTGGAAACTAGTACCTCGGAGGTACCAGTTTTTTACCCCGCATCTTCGGTGGGAAGCCTCGGGTTCGGCACGGGAGCTCTACGCTTCCCAGATGTGGCGCTGTGATCGTGCCCGGAAAATCCGCCTTTCGTCTCTGTAGCGTGGCTAATGTTCCGTGTGACCGCAGCCTAGGGTTACCAGGTCTGGGTTGGAAAATACCTGGAGACTTTGGGGGTGGATCCAGAAGAGGGCAGAGTTTGGGGAGGGGAGAGGACTCAGCATGGTACAATGCCATAGAGTCTATCCTTCACAGCAGCCATTTTCTCCAGGGGAGCTGATCTCTGTCAGCGGGAGATCCCCAGGCCCCGCCTGGAGGCTGGCAACCCTAACACGGTCGACCAACCTACTCAGACAAAGCGATGCAGCAGCGGCTCAGCCTACACCAGCTAACGTCCAAGTGCAATGCTCGTGCAACGTTTATCTGCCCGCAAAACCTGCTGCTTCTATAGATCCAGTGGTCCTGTGTTTGGCGGCGCCCCAACAGAGACAGATGACAGGGCCTGGCGAGGGGGAAAAAAAGGGCGTCCCCTTCCGCGCGTTTTATTAGGATGCCGCGCAGGTCCCCTCCCTTCAAATCAACCGCGCATGCGCCCTCGCTGTTTATTAAAAGCTCACTGCGCCACGGCTGTTGGAAAGCCCTTCCCCTGGCAAGCGGAGCTATCGGAATGCGTAACTCCAACGCGAAGATGGCTAGGTTATTATTGTATTCACCTGAAGAAGCGACGTCCCCGCTCTATTCTCTTCTACCACCCTATCTTTGGAAGACTACCCCGGGTCTCCGTAGCCGCTATTTCCAGAAAGTTCCAACCGCACAGGCTCAAGAAGCGAACGAGACAACCGTGGCGCCTGCGCACTAGCCCTTGCCTTCTGTCTCCGCCCCCTAACCGCCTCAGGTCCCGTTATTCTCTCCCCCCCTCCCCCTTCCTCGACTACATCCGCATGCGAGGAAGGAACTGGTGCTTCCAATTTGGCCTGCCGGGAGGTTCTGAAAAAAGGGAATTGTGACGTTGACTCCGGCTCCTGTTCCTTCCCCCCCCCTCCCCTTTAACG